CACATATCTTATGTCTCAGTGAGGCATTCTCTGTGTTACATCACCAGCACCCAACAAAGCTAGCCAGCTCTTTCCAAAGCACCCTCTGTGAACTCCAGTATTTATGTAACATTTTCTGTTGAACCAGCCTCAGTTTTCAACCTACCGAAATAGTACATATGGAAGCTAATACAACTTTCCATTGCTTAAGTTGCATAAAAAGATAAAGGTAAAGGTTTCCCCTTGACATTAAGTCCAGTCATGTCTGACTCTAGGGGGCGGTGCTCATCTCTGTTTCCTAGCCAAGGGAGCCAGAGTTTGTCCACAGACAGTCTCCGTGGTCATGTGGCTGGCATGACTAAACGCTGAAGTGCACAGAACGCTGTTACCTTGCCAGTGAAGTGGTACCTTTTTATCTACTTGCATTTGCATGCTTTCAAACTGCAAGTTTGATAGGAGTTGGGATGGAGCAATGGGAACTCACCCCGTTGTGCAGATTCAAACTGGCAACCTTTCGATCAGCCAGCACAGCAGTTAAACCACTGCGCCACCTGCATCCCTAGGTTGCATAGAGCATTCTAATTCTCTCTTCCATGCCATCTCATCTCATTCTAACATAGTGAACACCTACTTTATTTCATCCCAAAATCATGTATATACAGCTACTGTAGACTTTTTGTAAAAGTCAAATTACTTCCTCCAATATTATAGGAGACACGGAAGCAGCCATCACCAGTGGCCCATATAAGATACCAGAAGTGCTACAATTATTGCCAACAAGCACTGGATGATTCCTGATATTGGCACTGGCCTATTGAAAATGGTGCTAACTCATCCAATCCTATTGACTGAGCTAAAGTATACATTCTGCTATCAGCCCAAATCCTCCTCAGAATTGGCTGTTTTTCTAGTTTCAAATCAGGATTCCTTGTAAAGTGAATTTAACATGACAATAAGGGTTGAACTTTGTCTGATGAAACTTGATCTTTCTCTAACCGCTGAAATTGCAGGTCGAGTCATTCCTTTATTTGTAATGTGTCTGGATCCTAGTGCCATCCAACCAAAAGGAGGAGTCAAATAATTTGGATCCCACACTACTCATGGAGGGGTGGTAAATGAAAAAAATATCTTCCAGTCATTGATACAAAAACAGCAGATAAGCCTCATGATATAAACTGATATCTGGTCAGTTAAATCCTCCCTCCTTTATTGGCAACTGCATTCTCATAAGTGAAAACTGGGGAGGAGTCCCTCTCTCAAGATAAGCTCCTGAAATATGGTACTGGGATTTGAAAATGCATTTGGGTAATATATAAAGAAATGTTATAGAATATATAAATTCCAGAATACTTACTCAGAGATCAACTTAGCATATGCAATGTTTGCTTCCCATTTAAATTGACATCTAACTAATCTTCAGGAAAAGTAAAATACCTTGATCACACTAAGCTCACCAAAGGTCTGCCACAGTGTTAAATCTTGTCCTCAACACTTAGTGCTTTCTTGGCATCTTCTCGTATTATTTCATCATGTCCAAGAGGTCAAGGGGAGATAAGTCTAGCATAGACTTGATATGGCAAAATCAATTCATCCTGAGAAGTGAGTTCAAGTTGAAATAATCAAAGTCAATCAGGGAGAGTGGCTATTAAAGGAACTCTGCAAATCCTTCCTGTCAGATATCTTCATTGTACCAATGATAGAACCGAACATCCAAGTTCTTCTTTACTTTGTTTCCAGGAGTTCTGACTGCTGCTCTCTAACTTGCTATTCTAGCAAATAGTGTTCCAGCAAAACACTATTCATTTGACTTGATTCACATTTTATTCCACAGGATCCATGGGAAAGTTACAAGTTGTTAAAGTTATAATAAAATCAAACCAAATAGAAAATTAAAACACAGTTAAATTGTGACATAAAAGATCAGTATTGAAGCAGCTAGAAGAATTAGGCATTGCCATCAAGAAGCATGAAAACCGTGTACAAAACATTTAAATGATGTTTAAAGACTTAACATACAGAAAATAAAAAAGATATTTGCCTGCTACTGAAATGACATTAAAGTAGGCTGCAAGCAATCTTTCCTGGGCTGAGCTTTCTAAAGTCGGGTGCTATCACTGAGTGTGTCCTTTTAACTATAACTCAGTTACCTGGGCGGCCAAAGAAGGACTTCTGTTAAAGATGTGAATTTATGAGAAGGCAGACATGGGGACAAACTGTCCTTCAAGTCTGGGCACAAGCTGTACTTTATATAACCCAGCCGTAAGTGATGAGATTGCTTCAGCATCAAAACTAGTACTGGGAACTGGGAACCAGTGCCGTTGGTGAGGCATCATAGCCAGTTAGCCTTGTAAAGCATTGTGTGTGCTTTGAAGTGAGGCAGCAGCACAGAGCTCATGGCAGCATTGGGGTTCTTCTGTAAAGCGTCTGATGGATGGCTGTGCCCTGAACCAGATGCAGGCTTGGTATTGATCGGTGCCAGTCCACCCGCATTGGCCCAGAAGGCAGAGCCACTGCCATGCTCAGACAGTGACGATGGCTTCACACGCTATCGCAAGAAACAACCATGTTGATGGGGAATTGCCAGTCTGCTCCGCTGTCTTTCTCTGCCCACCCCTGTGACGCCTGCAGTGATCTTCAGAAAGGCACTAAAAGAATGGAAGATGAATGTTGCAACACGAAGGACTCCGGGTGTAATAACTGTGTTACTTGGGGGTCAGTTGTACAGTGTATTATCTTTATGAATTCTAACATGCACTGACCCCATCATTACTTCCTGAACTAATCTGCAGGTTGGACTGTTGCAATCCATCTGATTTTCCACTTCGATCATGGTAACATATTTGAAATGCATATTTGGATAAAAAAACATTTTACAAAGTATTTAGAGATATGTTTAAATGCATTTGGTTAAAAACATTTCAGATTGATGTGGGGACAGGGTGGCACTGACTGATGGATTAACATATGATTGTTATTCATGGCCCAGAGAGCTTTGAAATTAAATAAATAAAACACATGAAACCTTCAAGGCTAGAAATGGGTAATCCATCCAGCCTGAACTGTAGTAGGATTACTGTATCATCTCTTCATCTGCAGTTGTAATTCTCATGTGACCACTGACATTTCTCAGCCTTAGCTTCTCATCTGTATCAATAGTTGAGAGGGAGCACCTTCTCCTTTATCGCCCTGCCCAGCCTCTGAGCTCATCAGCCGGCATGCTTCTGAAGGTTTAGCCTAGACCTGTGGTCCCCTTGGAGAGACTTGTGTGTGGTGGCTCCTTTCCTATGGAACTCCCAGGCAGGGACCAATATTGTATAATTTCTTGTACCTCCTGAAAGCATCTTTTTTGCAGAAACCTTCCTTGGTTGACCAGGTACTATTTTTATTGACACTCTGCTTTTAATAGTGTTTTAATTCTTTTTATCTTTTTTACTTTTGTTGTTTAGTTCTCTGCAGTCTGTATAGCTATGCTGTGTTATATGAAGGGTTAAATAAAGAAAATGAATATATAAGTAAGCCTAGAAAGGCATGAGTTTTAATTTTTCCTGTGCCACATAATTAAGTAATAGTTCTAGAAATAGTCAACATTGCAATGCTATAAAAGACAATGTGAAATCCTTTCTAAAAGGAGTATTAGGTCAAAAACAATTTCAGCCTAGAGATAACAACTGGTTATGTACCTAAATATTGCTCCAACAGTTTAACCTCTGTTGTACTAATAACTGGCCATTTCCATTAAATCTGTTTGCAATATTATTTAAAACAAAAAAGAAAGCCATATGTTTAATGTATCTTGATACAGATATTTATTTAGTGCCTTATGCATGCTATTTTTAAGTAATGGTATGAAATAGTAGCCACACAAATGGAAGTGGAATCAAAATAATGAATGTGCTAATATTTCCTCTAAAATTTCTGTGCTATTTGATGAGAGTGGATACTTTCTGAGTTCAAAACAAAAAGGGAAATCCATGTGTGTAACTTAAGCTATTAAGTGAATAGGAACTAAATTGCTTACTTCCTGATGCTACTAGTATGTTTCCTCTTTGTAGTAGAATAATAATGACACACTGCCCAAAAAGGTTAAGAGACCTTCACTTTCCCATCAGTGTTTCCCAACATTCATGAGGAAAACCTCTCCTTTAAAAATACATATTAATTACAAAAATAATAACAATAAAAAGAACATCTTGCCAGAATACAGATGCAGTGTCAGATTTGGTAACTAGCCATCAGCTATTGTGCCAGTCATCCAAATTTATTTCCCACAAAAGGTCAAAATAATAATAATAATAATAATAATAATAATAATAGGAGGAGGAGGAGGCGGAGGAGGAGCGGGGGGAGAAGAATAGGAAAGCATTTCAGTCTTAAATGCATGGAGTGCAATCTGGTGCACTATTAAGTGTGCTTCAAGAGCACTGAAATTAGCAGGACATAAGAGTGCTGGACTGTGGCCATAATATTGAATAACAACAGCAGTTGTAAGAAAGCCAGAGCTGTCCGGCAACTGATTGAAGTGGCTGCCGAGGCGAGAGCAGCTAGCCTGCCGAGCCCCCTGGCTCAGCCAGAGTCCGGGGGGCGACCCCCGTCCGTTCTCCAGCACTGAGGTTGGGCAGGAGCCGTGGTGAAGAGCAGGGTGTTGCTGGCCAAAGCTGAGGAAGCAGAGGTGGCCCCTCTGTGCTCCGTGTGTGGGTCTGTGTACTCCTTTCCCGTCAGCGTTGGGCCAGCCCAGCCAAAAAAGCAGTTCCTTGGCAAGGCTTAATGGCAGGATGATGTAGTCTGTTGTGACTAGTGCATTCCTTTCAGGTTAAACTAGGGAAATGGCATTGTGTTAAAATTCCAAGTCGCATGAATGTTTTATTGCCACAAGTGCACTGAGGTCTCAAGGGGAGAAGAGTGAGTGTTCAGGGCTGGGGGGAGGAAGGCAGGGGAGGCGGGGAGGGTGACTTAGAAGCTCGGGAACTATCAGAGGAACACTCCCCTTGGAAAATGTTATCCAGTGGTGTGTGAAGCTGCCTGGCTGTGATAGTCACTTCGAAGCGTTTCGCTTTCCCCCAACTGTGGCTGTTTAAAATCTCTCAGTCCAGACAATTAACAGCTGAAGAAAATATGACAAGACACACGCAGCGAGGTTGGGAGATAGAGAGAAGGAATGCGCCAGAAGAGAGTTGAATTGCCGCCTTGTACACGAACTGGCAGATCTCCTCTCCTCATCACCCTCCCTGCTTGCTCCAACGCACCCCCAGAGCTGTGTTTTTCCCTTTTCCTTTTTTCCCCTGTCTGCTGAAGGCCAGGACCGATCTGTTAACTGTACACCACTGACGGGGAGGCCAAAGCCGCTCATGGTACCGTATGTTACCATTACTACTCCCTCATTCCTTTTTACATTTCTCAAGCATTGCTTCGTAATAAGGGTTTACGTGAGTCAGAAGGATTTGAATGATTGATTTTTTTTTTTTTAGGTTGTGAAAAGAGCAGAGCACATTCTTGTAGCAAACTTTAAAAATTAAACAAGTTGGGCAATTCTTGTGCTTTCTCATTTATATTAGATGTTGATAATTATTTCAAGCAAATCTTTAAACAGTGTTTTTAATGCCGAAGTAATGCATGGGTACGGATGGTAACTATGCATATATAATACTTGTAATGAAATACCGTGAAGTGGAATTGGGTTGCTTTTGTTTGGGTCATGCAATACTTGTTCTGTTTTGGTTCCTTAATTCTTGGCTCCTCGGGATCAATGAGAAGGGGCGTGCGGGTTAGCCTCGTGTTGGCTTGCGTCTCGTGGAACTCTCCTATATAAAATGGGGTCAGGCAGCCTGGTCTTCTCCAGATGTTTTGAATGACTATACTCACTGGGGCTGATGGGGTTTGTTGTCCACCGTATCTGGAGGGCAGCTTGGGAGCAAAGTATTCTAGTGTTGTTGTGAGCTGGGAGATGCTCGGGTGCAATTCTGTGATATAGTTTTCTTTTCAAACATTTCAGTCAGGGTTATGGTTAGGGTTACGGTTAGGGTTAGGCACCTTGTGGCTTTTCAGCCTATAGCTGCCACTTCTCTTCACCATTGGCTGTGCTGGCTAGGACTGATGGGAACTGTAGGCCAAAATATCAGGGCAGCTGCAGGTCCCCTACTCCTGATCTAAGTCAAAGGGTTTTCCAAGTTGAAGCATTTGCAGTGGGGTTCAAGTCTTTCGCCCTCCCCTGCACCGTGCCTGACTCTCATACACACACAGGCCAAGAATGAGAGGGAGGCTAAAAAATAAATGCCTCAAATCACTGAAGCGAAGACCATTTGATCAGCTTTACTCAAAGACGCAAGTTATTGAATTATGTGAATGTTCTGCTTACGGGCCTATGTCTCTTTATTGTTAAATTTATGTCCTGACTTTTCCACCAAGGAACCCAAGGTGGCATACATGATCCTCCTCATCCTCTCCATTTCATTCTCTCAGCAACCCTGTGAGGTAAGCTAGGCTGCAAGTCTAGACTCAAATTCATCCATGGATGTCTGTGGACTGGAGCGCAGGTCATAGTCCAAAATGCTAACGTTTCCATCCCACTGGCTGTTGACCTTCATGGGACTTAATTGTAACCTGAACTTTCTTTGCTAGGACCCCACAGATGCAAACTGGAGGATTTGAATGTAGAACGGTGTTGCTTTCTAAAGAAATAAAACTGACCTCCTACTTGTGGGCAGCACCTTTTCCAAATTTCAGGCCTTTATATCAATGGAGTATATGGCAGTAAAGCATGTCTTCCACTGGCAAGAGTGTTCAATTTCCATTCCATGTTTGAAAACAGGTGCAACAATTTGAATGATGGAAATGATTTTAAAGTTTCTGGCTGGAAACATCATACAAGCATTGGAATAGATGCTCCCCACTCTTGTAGTCAAACGCTTTGGAGAAGACAATGCCTCTGAGCAAAGTGCTCCTAGCCTTGGTGTAATGCGACAGTTACCCTAAAATATTTGAGCCATTAAATGTGTGGACGTTCTAGACATATATTTGTGTGTGTGTGTGTATTGTTTATATAAAGTCATATATTTCAAACAAGTTTTAGTTGCAATGCTTCTATCATTTTTTTTCTTGAAAACCATATGAAGTACAAATTGCATGGATACAGATATATTATCCAACTTTTAATCATATGCAAGATGAGGTGTGTTGTTTTATTTAGTATGCAGAGGACTTTATCCTTCTGCATGTTATTTTATTTTATGTGAATATGTATGTGCCTGTGCCGCAAAGATGTAGAAAACATGAAGACACCGATCCAGTCTGAATGCACTTCCATAGCATCCAAGACAGACAATTATCTGTATCTATATTCAGATTCTCTTCTGAATGTAGTTGTTGTCTATTCACGCTGCATTACTTTTAGTTAGTTGCCCATTTGTTCAGGTGCTCCTATCCCTCCATGTTCTGCTGCTCTAACTCATTTTGATGCTTTGGGTAACCTCATGAGACCAGAGCTGGATTGGGCTTTTATTTCATGGGACCACACTCTCAAAAGAGCATTATAGGCTTCCTGGGATGAACGAAGAGGTGTTCTTTACGTGCTGGAATTATTGTCGCTACAACATGTTGCAGCTTAGTATTTCACGAGAAAACTGTTGCTAGGAGTGGAGGCAGGGTGGTATAGTGGTCAGACTTTTGGACTAGACTTAGGAGGCCCAAGTTTTAGTCATGAAGCTTGGTGACTTTGGCCCAATTGTTGACTCTGAACCTAGCCTACCTCATAGGACTGTTGCCAGGATAACATAGAAAGAAGGTAGAAGATTATAATAGATGTCTTGGTTTTCTTGGAGGAAAAATCAGGATATAGATATAATAAATACATAACAAAAGACAACACATGTATTCATGTTAAAAAGGTTTTATGTTCCAAGGCAAATGTAGAATGCCCCACTTTACCTTGTAACTGCTTGTTTTTAATTTACTCAAATTAGGTATATGTGTATATGTTTTCCCTAGGTGCACAATGACATCATGTGTTGTATATTTAACTCTCTACTTAATTTCCATAATTTGTAAAACTTTTGTAAGAAAAAAAGTATATGTGTGCATAACACAACAGCTCATAGGTGATATGCTCTTTGGGGTCGTCAGTCAGTCTACACTAATGCAAATGTTCGATAAATTGTCCATTAAATAGTAAGATTTTAAAAATAAATAACTTATTGGTAGCTTTTTATGCATCTCATTTAATTTTTGGATAGATAACAGAATGATTCACATGTGTTTGTGTGATTTATTTATTTTGTCTGTATAAGAGGAATGATTATGTCATAAACATAACTTTAATCTGATTAGTGCTGTTTTTATGATGGTTGGTAGTAGTAGTGGCTTAAAAAAACCCAGTTATATTGACAAGGTTTATGGAGGGTCGTAAACTCAACAAGCAGTCAGCTCTATTGCAAAACCATGATTTATGTCCAGATTCAGCCCTTCAGATTTCTGAAACTCTCATTAGCATCTCATAGATTCTAGCGATTGCCCACTTAGAGCTATATTTTTTCAGCTACAAACTATTCTGAATGCTCAGTAATGCAAGAATTTATTTCTAATAGGTTGAACATGTCACATTTTAATTGATGTTTTCCAAAGAAACATGGAAGTGATAGATTCATATTTTTCTGTGCTTGAATCACTGTTTTTAAATTTAATTTGTAAATGGATAATTAATTGTGATACATGAAGAAAAACTTTTAAAAGGAGGGGTGGAAATGTGCATTGGCATTGGTCAGATGAGATCTTGTGAGTAACAGACTTTCTCTTGCACAATTAAATACATTTTGAAATAAAGCATGACAATTTTTTTCCTGTGAGATTAATGAACATTCATAGTTCAAGATGATTACCAAATTTTGGAAAATATTTCACTTAAACCTGACTAAACATATTGTAAATAAATAATAAACATGATACAAAGACCAAACAAAGCAGCAATTAAATATGCATTGAAAACATTCTCCCTTTCACTTAATTACAGGGTAAAGAAAGAAGAAAGGGGAGGATTTGAAATGAAAGTACTGTGACCAGAAATAACCGCTCATCTTGGATTTTTTAATGTTGCTAGTGAAATGCCTGCACAGTTGTTGCTGTGATGTGTGAACCTATCCTACAATCTATGATTGCAGTGTTCACATGACATAACAAGCCCTGGAGAGGAGTTCAATACTCAAGATGCCAGCCACATGTCCACCACACTCTCACTGGGGATTAAATATCCCATGGTTGGCTATCATATCATGTGAGTAGCCCTGGTGGTAATCACATTAATACTGGCCGTTCACAAAGCAATACAAACATCAGGGCATTAGGTAAGCCAATCAACAGCTGTAGTGTGCTTTTAAAAATGAATATGCAGATCTATATTCTGGTTTAAGCCATAGAAAATGGATTTCTCTGTAGGGGTGGAAAATAGCCTGTTAAAAGACCAGTGTTCTATTGCCTCTCCACCTTTCTTTAATATGTTGGACAGATTCATGAGGAAGGAGGCTATTAGTGGCCACTGACCTTGCTGGCCAAGTGCTACCTCCTTTTCCAGATGCATGCCTACATAAACCAGTTGCTGAGGAGCTTAGGCACCCATCCTGCTTGAGGGACCAGTGGACAGCTGGTTTACCACCATGTAAACCAGAATGCTGGACTAGATGAACTCTTGGTCTGCTCCAGCACAGTGTTTCTTATGAATACCATCAAACTAAGCATATATTCATAATGAGTTTGATAGGGAAATATTAAATTAATGAGATCAAGTGCATATTTTAGTGCACACATTTGAAACACCTTTATACAAGATTCAAATATTTTAAAGTCTGATTCTGATTTCCAAGTACAACATGTCTCATCAAAAGAGGATTGGGCAAAACAAGATCTTAATGTACTTACGTATTTCACTAGATTTGGATTTTAAAAAGGCTGCCATTAGTTTTGTAGCCAACAGTTGTACATGCTTCCAAGAAGCAGCTCCATTGTTTTAAATGAGGCATACAGGCCAGTAAATAAGATAAAAATATTTTCCCCATGCAATTCTACTGTTTTGAACTATACTTAACTCACATGTTTTTCATCTCATGTTAAGTATGAACTCGGAAGCAAGTATCTCTAGTCTTAATCGGACTTACTTAGGTAGGCAAACCATGGCCCTCTATATTTGGTGGGACTGTAAACTCACCACACAGTATTGTTCTGCTGGCTGGGTCTGATGGGAGATGTCCAACACCATCTGGAGGACCATGGAGGGTGTGCGGCTACCTTTAGTATAGCAGCCATAGCATAATTTTATAGGAATCCCTCTGGATTCTGTATCATGACCACACAGTGATTACATCACATG